TTTATTCTTTATCTGAGATACTCTTTGATCCACCGGAGAATTTTCCCTGTTATTCCTGGCTGCACCTCAAGTTTTTGCCCTAGCTACATGTAGGGTACTGTACCCAATATCTTCTTTCTATCCACCCAACCCTCTCTCACTTCCGTTACTCTGTTATAGAATTCCATTAGGTTGGGGAGACAAGATTTACCGTCTCTGAACCCGTACTGGTCAGTGTTTATGAAACTCCTCCTCTTCAAGTGTTCTACCACTCTCCTTCTGACTATCTTCTTCATTACCTTGCAAAATTAGCGAAACTGGCCTGTAATTCAACGCTTCCTACCTATCTCATTTCTTGAATATAAGTACTATATTTGCTGCCTTCCACATCTCTGGCACACACTTGACTTGGTGTAGATCTTCACTAGTGGTTCACACAGTGCTTCTCTACCTCACCCTGTGTATGTACTCACCTATTTGTGGTTGCAGAGGTCGATTCATAGGTCCTGGCCCGCGCCTCTTCAGTGATCATTACTAGGTCCACTCTTCCTGTTCCAAGAGCTTCATCGTACATCTTCTTAAAGTTATGCATGGATCCTGCCTCCACTATATCGCTCTCCATACTGTTTCACTTCCTGACAACTCTGTGACTGAAGAAATATCTTCTAACATCCCTAAAACACATCTGAGTTTTCAACTTTCGACTGTGATCTCTTGTTGCTGTGTCTCATCTCTGAAACATTTTGTCATTCTCCACCTTGTAAATTCCTCTCAGTGTTTTATATGTTGTTATCATGTCCCCCTACCCCTTCTGTCCTCCACTGTCGTCAGGTTGAATTTTCCTTAACCTCTCCTTGTAGGACATGTTTCTTAGCTCCGGGACTAGTCTTGTTGCAAACCTTTGCACATTGTCTAATTTCTTAACGTGTTTGAGCAGGTATGGGTTCTAAACTCTTGCTGCATATTCTAATATAGGTCTGACGTACACAGTGGACAGTGTCTTGAATGACTCTTTACTTGGGTGCAGCATATGACCAGACAACCATATGCTGCAGCAGTTATTTGGTTGATGTGCGGCTCAGGAGTGTACTCGGTATGATGCTCACCCCAAGATCCTTTTCTTTGAGTGAGGTTTGCAGCCTTTGACACCTCGTCATGTAACCATCACTCGTTATTTCCTTCCTGTCAGGTAATCCCTGATCCATGGCATTGAATTTCCTATTATTCCTGCTTGCTCCTCTAGTTTTTACGCTAATCTCTTGTGCAGAACTGTGTCAAAAGCCTTCTTACAGTTAAAGAAACTGCAGTCTACCCCCTTCCCTCTCTCTCTCGTCTTACTTCTGTTACCTTGTCGCAAAACTCCAATAGGTTTGTGACACAGGATTTCCCTTCCTTGAAACCCTGCTGGTTATCATGTATAAACTCATTTCTTTCTAAGTGCTCCACCACTCTTCTGATAATCTCACTGACTTTGCAAGCTATACATGTCAGTGACACTGGTCCGTAGTTTAGTGCTGCCTGTCTGTCTTCTTTCTTGAAAACTGGGACTACATATGCTGTCTTCCACACCTCAGGTAGTTGTCCTGCTATGCTAGATGTGTTGAAGATTGTTTTTAGTGGCATGTACAGTGTCTCTGCTTTTTCTCTCAGGACTCATGGAGAGATGTCTAGTCCTACCGACTATGAGGTATCTAGTTCGCTTAACAGTCTCTTCACCTCCTCCTCGGTCGTGTGTAGTGTCTAGCACTTGCTGGAAGCCTTTCTGTTTCCACTGAGAATACCTCCCTAAATCTTTTGTTGAGCTCCTCGCTCAACAAGAGATTATTTTTCTCCTGATGTGGCTGTACAACAGCTTCAGGTAAGATTTGGCTTTCGATGCTATGTCATTCTCGTATTGCTGCTGGGCCTCTCTCCTTATCCATGCATACGCATTACTTGCTCTTCGGCTAATCTTATTTTTCTGAGTCCCTTGTTTTCTATGCCTTTTCCATTCACTAGTACAACTAGTTTGGTCTCTCTACACCTTTAGGTGAAACAAGGACTCAGTCTGGTCATCCTGTTGTTTCTATTGCCCTTGGGTATGAACTCTGCCTCCCTGCACTTTGTGGTCATGTAACCCATCATTTCATTTGCTGTCTTTCCCTCCACTTGTCTTCCCCACTGCACCTTGCGCAGAAATTGCCTCATGCCTGCGTAGTCCCCTCTTATATAATTTGGCTTCTCCTGTCCTTCTCGTGCTACTTCACTGTCAACTGCTAGCTTTACAATGCAGTAGAATCTCAGGACCACATGATCACTAGCTCCGAGAGACCTTACACAAGTGATATTCCCCAATGTCTGAACTACTCAATGTGAATACGAGGTCCAGCCTTGCTAATTGATCCCTTCTCTCTCTCTCTCTCTCTCTCTCTCTCTGGTAAGTGTTCCTTAACATGTTGGTGCATGAGATTTTCCAGTACTGCCTCCATCTTAACCCTCCACGTTTCTGGTCCCCCATGTGGCTCCAAGTTTTCCCAGTCAATCTCTTGTGGTTGAAATCACCCACAAGTAACTTTGCTCTACCCTTGTAGGCCCTTTTGACCACCTCAGCTAGTGTCTCTACCATTGCTCTGTTGCTCTCTTCAAACTCTTGTCTTGGCCCCCTGCTATTCTGTGGTAAGTTGTGCATCACTGCAATTATCACTTTGGAAACCTCAGTCTCAAGTGTTCCTAATATGTAGTCCCTTGCTTCTTTTCTGTCATTCCTCCCAGCTCCCCAAATCTCCACTGGTTGTTGATGAGCAGTGCAACTCCTTCCCTTCTGTTCTCTATCTTTCCTCAGGATCTGAAATCCAAATGGAATTATCACATCTGATATCATCCCTGTGAGCTTTGTTTCCATGAATACTAGGATGTTTGAGGGATTCTTCCATTATTATTTCATGCCACTCCTCACATTTATTTGTTATTTATCCTGCACTGGTGTACCATACCTTCAGCTTCTTTTTAACTACTGTGTTCTGCAGGTAGGAGGGGAAGGTTGTGATGGCTGTGGAAGTGGAAGACCTGGCAGGATACTTTGAGAGGTTGCTGTGAAGGTAGAGTTTGTGATGGAGGGGGGTTTATTTTGGGTTATTCTGGTTGAGGTGGAGTTGTTAGAGTTGAGGGTGTTCTGTGGGGGGTTGTGTTTGTTTTTCCTTCCAAGTCTAGGTTTCCTTGCCCATCTCTATCCTTGTCTCTCTTTCCTGCTCCTTGTGTCTTTGTGTCCTTTCAGTTTCTGTCATTCTTCTCATGTTCTGTCATGGTCAAGGTGCACTCAGTGGTAATTTGGTGAGCCCTTTAATCTTGATTTCTGCTGGCATATTCTGTTTCACACCATTTCTGACTTGAAAATCAATTTGATTTGACAACTTTTTCCCCTTGAGAGCCCCCTTATTCTCTGAAAATTTGTCAGCTGGATCATATCTTCCTCTCCTGTCTCTTTGATGACATTTTCTGTTTGTTTTTTCTCCCCCTGTCATCTTCGTACATTGTCCCTTTAGCCTTCTGAAACCTATGAATTAAGACTGACCTCTCCCTTTCATCCTCCCATTACATTTTCCTCAGCATCTCAGGGCCTGACTTTAACATATCATTGCTGCTTTCCTTAACATTTCTTGGGTCTCCTGTTGGCCTGATAATGCCTTTACAGGGGACTTGTCATCTTCCCTCTCTTCATTCCCCTCACTGTTTGCTGCTCTTGTACCCAATGGCATGCCATCTGGGCCCCCCAGTGGTCTGATAGAGCCTCTGCACAGTTCTTATATTCTTCCTCCCTTCAGTAACTTCACTGGTTGCTGATGTTGCTGTTCCTGTTCCTGTTGCCATGCACTTTCTGTTCTTCTGCTCTATATCATGCTTCGGCATTTCCAGATCCTCCTCTAGGCTCCATATCCTAGCCTCTGCAGCTGTGGCTTGTAGATCCCACTTCTTGCTCACTGCAGCCATCCTCTCCTCCATTTTATCTAGCCTCGTGTGTGTGTGTGTGTGTGTGTGTGTGTGTGTGTGTGTGTGTTCAATAACATATCTGTATAGCACATAAGCACTTGGTGTATAAGCTTAATAATATGAAGAGCGTGTCTGATTGCATTAACTTGTCATCATATCTCTAAATGTTTTAAGGTAAATGAATCAACATATATTTACATGTTGTATGTGAATGTTCAAAACAGTGTTGGTGAATAGGTGAGTAAAAAGTATCTGATTGTCCCACATAAATATATCACAAAAAGTATATCAATAATCAATACAGCATATGTATCATACAGACCCTGTGCCCCTTCCTCAGGAACCCAGTATATCTGACCTCTTCTGGAGAAGGTGAACTTGTAAGCCTCAACCTCATCTTCAGTGATGGCCTTGCTTCTGACGAGGTCACTGAAGAACTTGTCCACCAGGTAGGTGTCGTTCACATGAGCCGCTACCTCAGGTAGGAGAGGCAGCCGCACGAATAACATATACCTGACGAATGAAGCGTTGCTGTTGTAAGAATCCTTCATATATATAAAGAAAAACTTATCTGATGGAAGAGGTAATGGGATGACACGAGTCCTTCAGATGAGGCATAAAGAAGAATGTATCTGACGACTACAATAGCCCCACATGGTTTTTAATGTGTATTAGGAAGAACATCAGGTAATGAAATCTGTCGTCTTGAGCTGGGGATATTCAATAAGAGCTGGTTTATCAACAGTTAAATAAAAACTGAGGAGCCAAATTCAATTTCATGTTAAAATTCTTAATTAGTAACTAGCAGAAACGATGCACAAGAATTTCATTTCCGCATTCATAACCTGCATCTTTAGACTTAAGATGAGTCGTAATGAACAACTGTCAGTGAATGAAAAGAAGAGTGGACGAAGACTCGATCCAAGGTCCTTGCATGTAGAAGTCTCAGTGCTTTGCCACTTGTAAGCTTCGTGGATCGGGATTGCAACATTAGACCTACTACATACAATGTCCACGGTTCGAGCTCCCCATCCATTCTTCTGTTTATTAAATAAATAAGATTCGTCGGATTTTAACCCCTGAGGTTACTACCCAGGAAACCCAAGAAAGTCATGTGCCATTGAATGTCTAACTTAGTTTCCATCGGGTCCTTAATCTGTCCCCCAGGATGCTGACACACAACATACTAACACCCAGGTACTATTGGCAGGTGAACAGGACAACAGGTAGGACAACTGATCGAAACGTTTCCCCGCGGAATCGAACCCGGGCCTGGGTGAAGCGGGGCTTAGGACCACCTACACCGTGGCCACCCACACTAATGGTAATCCTGGCATCAGTACCGATGGAAATTCAAAGAACCTTGTCAACAGCTCGGCATCTTTATTTGTAGACGTTTCGCCATCCAGTGGCTTATTACAATACATGGACATAATGTGAAGACGTAGAAATATATACACAAGAGAGTGGAAGACGAGGTAATCGGTTCCTTAACCTAGGAGCAGATGATGAGCACCGTTGTCTTGAAGAATCTGAAGCACAGGCAGGAAGACTGGCGCTTATATACTGGCGTCAGATGAGGACATCACTACAACCTACTTGCTAACACCTGGCATAACTCTTGAACATGACCTACTTCCACTGGGGCAATTCTGCCAAAGAATTTACCTTCAAAGTAACCTACGACTCACCAGGCCTTGTAGTAGTTCATCCAGAGAGAGTTCACCTGCTGGCGGATGACGTAGGGATGCGGGGCGTGGATGAGCACCATCTTGGTGACCAGCTGTGGGTAGTGGTAACACATGTACCAACCCACCTGGCCGCCCACACCTGCACACACCAAGTGTGCACTCTTACGACCTGTCCACAGTAAGGAGAGGGTCATTATATGATTCATGACGATCGTTCAATGTTTTTTTCCTGGTATAAATTAAAATTATTATTATTATTATTATTATTATTATTATTATTATTATTATTATTATTATTATTATTATTATTATGGGGAAGCGATAACCTTGACTTGCCTTGGGAGCAATGAGATTCGATCCAAAAAAAAAAAAAACTGCTCTTTAATAAGAATGGCGAAGTTGCCCCTACACAGTCCCTACCCAGTTCGAACCTTCCACTAAGGAAGATACTCCAGCTTTGAAAGTTTAATGCCAATCGAAAGAGGTATTCTCTAGTTATTGCACAGACACCAGTACCTAAATTACATCCAGAACTTACTTTCTCAAGTTATCATCATTGAAGATTTGTAGCCAATCGGACAAAATATTACAAATTATCGCCCGAAAACCAATCCTGAATTTTTATTTTTCTATTTTAATTTGACAAATTTGTACCTATACCTGGACTATACCTGGAGTATACCTGGAGAGGGTTTCGAGAGTCAACGCCCCCGCGGCCCGGTCTGTGACCAGGCCCAAAATTAAATAAAACCTTCCTCTTATCACATGGAAACCAAATTGTTTATGAAATTGACGGATTATGACGTGATGCTTCCTTTGAAATCGACCGAAGTTTGAAATCGACCGAAGGAGGCATTCTCGAGTTATTGTGCATTCATTCCAAGTTTACTAACCATTATAGCAAGTTGATACAGTTACATTTACAAAGTCTAAGCCCAAAAGGTATTATTTTTTAATATGGGGCATCAGTCATTAATAATTAATTAAAACCGTTCACATAAAACATACTGAAGTTATTTAATGGGAATAATAATAATATAAATAATAATAATATTATTAACAACAATAATAATATTAATAACAATAATAAATATCTTTAAATATAGGCGTTTTTTATATTCTTGTTTTAAAGTTTCTGCAATTTTGTTACTGAGCGCCAACTGAAAGAAACATCTGTGTTATACGTGAAGAACCTCAAGTTTCAAAACACCTGAAGACATGAAGACTCCGCTGTTAAAACACTGAGAATCAGCAACATGTCTGCGAACACCTGCTGGGAACCTGCAGAACTCCTGCGTAAGCTAAACAATGGGTTAAAAACACAGTGCTTGCTCAGAACATGTCTTGGGGGCGTGTGTAAGATATATGAAGTCTCCTTGAGGACATTATTGGGTCTGTTGTGTTCAGTACGTCGGGAATGTTTCCGCCATGTCGTCTTGGGTATCAGGACCGGGCCGCGGGGGGCGTTGACCCCCGGAACACCCTCCAGGTATACTCCAGTTATCTACAGATTTCCTGGTCGTAAATAACTCGTGAAGACACAGAGCAGCTGCTGGAGAGAGAACCTTCCAGACATCTATGAAACTCTGTTTATGAAAAGAGGTTCTGCAAGTCCTCAGATGATTTTAAGGGTTTTGTAAGTTCTCAGGAAGTGATCTTAAGGGTTCTGTAGGTCCTAATGATGTAAGCTTAAGCAAGGGTTCTGTAGGTCCTAAAGATGTGATCTTAAGCAACGGTTCTGTAGGCCCTAAAGATGTGATCTTAAGTAAGGGTTCTGCAGGTCCTCGTGTGATGTTAAGGGTTTAGTATGTTCACGGGAGGTGATATTAAGCCAGGGTTCTATATATCCTCGGGAGGCTCTCAGGCACTGATCTTAATTGTGACTAATATAACCCTTAAGAAAGGGCTATGTTGGTCCGCAGTATATGCTTACCTAGTATCCTGATGAGGCTGGCGACGTCCTCAGCGAGGAGAGGCGTGGTGTAGTGGGTCCTCAAGCGAGGCGTGTCCGAGTCCCCGCACCCACGCATGTCCACAGCCACCACCCTGGGTGTGTACATCTGTTAGAAGCAATGGGAGAGCGTGCGCTCGCACACACACACACACACACACACACACACACACACACACACACACACACACACACACACACACACACACACACACACGACACACACACACACACACACACACACACAAGCAATGTACTGGAGGCAGGAATCATACATAGTTTTAAGACGAGGTATGATAAATCTCATGGAGCAGGGAGAGGGAGGACCCAGTAGCGGTCAGTGAAGAAGCGGAGCCAGGAGCTGAGTCTCGACCCCTGCAACCACAATTAGGTGAGTACACACACACGAAAAATGATCTTGGTGAGGAAGTGGTAAAGTCAGTCTCCGTACATAGTTTTTAAACCCAGCAGGATAGAGCCCAAGTGGCTAAGAGGAAGTAAATCTGAAGAGTGGCAGGTTAAGAGGCAGTGCCAGGAGCTGAGGATCGACATCAGCAACCATAAATAGGCGAACACACAACTTTTAAGTATATAGCTGGATAAATGTTAAAAAAATATATATAAACATTTATTAGGCCAAAATTGGAATATATAGAGATGAGGTAAAGCCAGCGCCTAGAAAAATACTTGAATTAATTATAAAATAATCCACAGAAGAGCTAAAAAATAGTTATAATATGCAAGTTATTATGAAAGGCATAAGGCACTAAAGATGCCAACGCTGGCTGATAGGACGAGACAAGGTGATGATAGTCACACAAGGTGATGATAGTCACACAAGGTGATGATAGTCACACAAGGTGATGATAGTCACACAAGGTGATGATAGTCACACAAGGTGATGATAGTCACACAAGGTGATGATAGTCACACAAGGTGATGATAGTCACACAAGGTGATGATAGTCACACAAGGTGATGATAGTCACACAAGGTGATGATAGTCACACAAGGTCATGATAGTCACACAAGGTGATGATAGTCACACAAGGTGATGATAGTCACACAAGGTCATGATAGTCACACAAGGTGATGATAGTCACACAAGGTGATGATAGTCACACAAGGTCATGATAGTCACACAAGGTGATGATAGTCACACAAGGTGATGATAGTCACACAAGGTCATGATAGTCACACAAGGTGATGATAGTCACACAAGGTCATGATAGTCACACAAGGTCATGATAGTCACACAAGGTGATGATAGTCACACAAGGTCATGATAGTCACACAAGGTCATGATAGTCACACAAGGTGATGATAGTCACACAAGGTGATGATAGTCACACAAGGTCATGATAGTCACACAAGGTGATGATAGTCACACAAGGTGATGATAGTCACACAAGGTCATGATAGTCACACAAGGTCATGATAGTCACACAAGGTCATGATAGTCACACAAGGTCATGATAGTCACACAAGGTGATGATAGTCACACAAGGTCATGATAGTCACACAAGGTCATGATAGTCACACAAGGTGATGATAGTCACACAAGGTGATGATAGTCACACAAGGTCATGATAGTCACACAAGGTGATGATAGTCACACAAGGTCATGATAGTCACACAAGGTCATGATAGTCACACAAGGTGATGATAGTCACACAAGGTGATGATAGTCACACAAGGTCATGATAGTCACACAAGGTGATGATAGTCACACAAGGTCATGATAGTCACACAAGGTGATGATAGTCACACAAGGTCATGATAGTCACACAAGGTCATGATAGTCACACAAGGTCATAAAAGTATAGTAAAGATTAGATAAAGTGGATTTTTTTCGTACCGGCGACAGGGATAACAAAAAGCCTCAGTTGTATATTGAGAAAAAGTGGAGCTAAAGAGATGCTAGGAATTATTTCTTCGCGAAGTGAGCGGTGGATCAATGAAATGAATTATAAGAGGATGACGTAGGTGCTTCAGTTATTGAAAATGTTATATAATGAACAAATTATTAAAGACGGGATACTACGAATATTACTCTGCTCTTGTAACTAAAACTAGACAAGTACAAATAGACAGTTGTGTGAATACACACACACACACCAAGTGCAAAATCATGAAGATTGGGGAAGGGCAAAGAAGACTGCAGATGGAGTACAGTCTAGGGGGCCACAGACTACAAACCTCACTCAAGGAAAAAGATCTTGGTGTGAGTATAACACTGGGAACATTTCCTGAGGCGCACATAAACCAAATAACTGCTGCAGCATATATGCGCCTAGCAAACCTAAGAACAGCATTCCGGCATCTAAATAAAGAGTCATTTAGCACTCTGTACACTGTGTACATTAGGCCCATATTGAAATATGCAGCCCCAGTTTGGAACCCTCGCCTAGCCAAGTATGTAAGGAAACTAGACAAAGTGCAAAGGTTTGCAACAAGACTAGTCCTGGAGCTGAGGAGTATGTCCTACGAGGAGAGGTTAAGGGAAATCGACCTGACGACACTAGAGGACAGGAGAGTTAGGGATGACATGATAACGGCATATAAAATACTGAGAGGTATAGACAAGGTGGACAGAGACAGGATGCTGAAGAGATGGGACACAGCAATGAGGGGTAACAGTTGGAAGCTGAAGGCTCAGATGAACCACAGGGATGTTAGGAAGTATTTCTTCAGTCACAGAGTTGTCAGGAAGTGGAATAGCCTGGGTAGTGATGTAGTGGAGGCAGAATCCATACATAGCTTTAAGAAGAGGTATGATAAGGCTCACTAAGCAGGAAGTGTGACTGGGTAGCAGCCAGGTGAAGAGGCGGGGCCAGGAGCTGTGACTCGACCCCACAACCATAACTAGGTGAGTACAGCTAGGTGAGTGAGCGTGCACGCATGCACACACACACACACACACACACACACACACACCACACACACACACACGCACACACACACACGGGCGCCTGGCAAACATGAGAATAGCGTTCCGATTCCTTAGTAAGGAATCGTTCAAGACACTGTACATCAGGCCCATACTGGAGTGTGCAGCTCCAGTTTGGAACACACACCTTGTCAAACACGTCAAGAAATTAAAGTGCAAAGGTTTGCAACAAGGCTAATTCCGGAGCTCAGAGGTATGTCCTACGAAGAAAGGTTGAGGGAAATCGGACTGACGACATTGGAGGACAGACGGGTCAGGGGAGACATGATAACGACATACAAAATACTGTGTGGAATAGATAAGGTAGACAGAGACAGGTTGTTCCAGAGAGGGGACACAGAAACAAGGGGTCACAATGGGAGCTGAAGACTCAGACGAGTCATAGGGATGTTAGGAAGTATTTCGTCAGTCATAGAGTCATCAGTAAGTGGAATAGCCTAACAAGTGATGTGGTGGAGGCAGGAACCATACATAGCTTTAAGACGAGGTATGACAAAGCTCTGGAAGCAGAGAGAGAGAGAGAGAGAGAGAGAGAGAGAGAGAGAGAGAGAGAGAGAGAGAGAGAGAGAGAGAGAGAGAGAGAGAGAGGACCTAGTAGCGATCAGTGAAGAGGCGGGGCCAGGAGCTGTATCTCGACCCCTGCAACCACAATTAGGTGAGTAAACACACACTACCACACACACTACCCCACACACTACCCCACACACTACCCCACACACTACCCCACACACTACCCCACACACACTACCACACACACTACCACACACACACTACCACACACACACTACCACACACACTACCACACACACACTACCACACACACACTACCACACACACACTACCCCGAAACCACAACTAGGTGAGTACACACAGCTGATCCTTGGAATTTGACTGCCTCCCCCACAGACCTCTTACCTTTTCCCTCCCTCGCGTTTCTCTCTCTCATAGCCTTCTTCCCTCCTTTCTCCCTCTCTCTCTCTTTCTCTCCCTCTCCCTCTCCCTCTCTTTCTCCCTCTCTCTACCCTTTCTCTCCCCCCTCACATTTCTCTCCCTCCCCCTTGGTCTTATCCCTCACCCCATACTCTCTCCTCTCTCTCCCTCTTTCTACCCTTTCTCTCTCCTCTCTCTCCCTCTTTCTACCCTCTCTCTCTCTCCCCCACACCCTCTCCCTCCTCTAGCCTTCTGTCTGTGGTAATAAGAAGTAAAAAAAAAAAAAAAAAAAAAAAAAAAAAAAAAAAAAAAAAATGGGTGGCCTTAGAGGACGGAAACCCAGAGATCTGGTGGACGAACCAGGGAGGAAAGACTGGGAGCTAGAGCTCCAAAAAAGGGAGGAAGAGTGGGGAAGGAAGATAGTAGAGCTTGGTAAGAAAATGGAGGAGCGGATAGCTGAAGAGTGCAGGAAGTGGGAAGTACAGGTCTTAGCAGCAGAAGCTAGGATACAGTGCTTAGAAGAGAAACTGCAAAGCCTGAAACAGATTAGAGAGACAAATGACAATTCAGGTGTGACATCAGGAAATTCAAAGTCAGGCGCAGACAGGGGGATGGTAAGCAACAACGGAGACATGCCGAGCATGAAGGCCCTATCAGACCCACGTGGGGCCAGGGAAAAGACGATGAGCACACTAAGATCAAACGACAGGTCCGAAAACAATGAAGGTATGCTATATGCAGAGATTCTAACAGCCAACTGCAGTAGCAAGGGACAGCTGGTCAGGAAAGACAGTCCACTGAGAATAGAAGTTTCAGATATGACAGGGACTGAAGGCAAGAACATGTCAATGGAAGGAAATAAAATGCCTCAGAGGACGCAGATGGAGACTCAGTGGGAGGAGGAAAGGGCGAGGTCAGTTTTTGTGTACGGGCTCCAAGAAGCCAAGGGGGCCAACTTTGAAGAAATAAAACAGGAGGAGAAAAAATGATTGAAGGCATCATGAAAACAATAGGGGAGGGCAATATGACCCAGGTGACAAATTTTCAGAGAATTGGGTGGTTGCGAGTGGAAGGATACGGCCTGTCAGAGTAACTTTCAAGGAAGAATCAGTTCGAACCAGGATTCTGCAAGAGAAAGCAAGACTGAGGGACAAAGAGGGGTACCAGAGAGTATACCTCGACCGCGACAGAACACAAGAAGAAAGGACTACACTGA